CCAATATTAGCAAAAAAATTATTAAACTGTGTAGCTATTTGAGTTGGATCTGAGTAAGTGCCAGTGCTGTCTTTCATATGACTAAAATGTAGCTCAGGCTTCTTTTTAGAGATTACTTGTTTAATAACTGTCCATGTCTTTCTCAAGTCTGAGCTAACAGAGAGAAGTTTGTCATGAAAATAGTTTTTCCTAGCAAGGTTAATGGGAAATTGTATTTGTTACGATATTTGTTGTATCTGAACTTGTTAAGTGTAGTAGGATTTAACCAAAATTCTTTGTAAAGTGCATTCTTCCTTTTACAAGAAGCAAAAAGACCTCGAGAAAACTAAGGTTTAGTAGGGCGTCGGGATTTAGGGCCTGCAGACTTAAGAGGAAATAACTTCCGATATGCAGAAGTAAGAAGGTTTGAGAATGTGTCATAGCACTCATCGACCGAAATAGCAGTATAAACTGTCGACCAGTCAGTATCTTCCAATTTAGACCTAAATGATGAAATTGTTGTAGGGTTAATAAGACGTATGTATCTCTTCTGACGTGGTGACTCAATAGATAATTTCAAGTTAGTAATTTGAAAAACTGGAAGATGATCGGTTAAATCAGTGTAGAAATACCACTGTGCGTGCTAAGTTCAAGATTGTTTGTATATATGTTATCAATCAAGGTTGCAGATGAGGAGGTTATACGGGTAGGTTTAGAGATTACTGAAGGAAAAGAGGCAATTAGATGTCACAAGATTGATGAACTCATTAGTGGGCTGATGAGAATCAGAATTAAAGAGGTTAATATTAAAATCACCCGATAAGATATGATAATTTGTTCTCAAAGCTAATGGTTGATAATACAGCTTCAAATGACTTATTAAAGTCACCAACAGAAGCATAAGGAGGTCTATAAAGGCAACCAATTGTAACAGTTTTATCGTTACTTTGTATAATTTCCACAAAAATTGATTCATACAAAGAATTATCAGAAGATTGAAGATCAGTTTTAAGTTTATACTTCAAACCAGTCTGGATATAAAGACCAACTCCTCCACCTGATTTATGTTCTCTGAGCTGAGAAATAAAGAGGTAGCCGGGAATGTTGAAAAGATCAGTATTTGACCTATTTAACCAGGTTTCAGAAACAGCTACCACAGAGAACTGCATTTTTAATGAAGGAAGATATTCTGACAAGTCATCAAAGTGTTTCGGGAGGCTACGAATATTGACATGAAAAGCAGAAAATGTATCAGGAGGAAAAGGAATTTTGTTAAATTCTGTAGAGGTTAGATAGGTACAGTTGGAGAGCAGTTGTGAATTTGCAGTGAAAAAATTGGGGTCAGGATCCAGATTGGAGTTCATTAGCAAATGAGAAGACTCGGGATCGTCGAGAAAGGGATTGAAAATTTTTTGCTTAAGCAATTCGGTATCAACAATTCCTTCAAATTCAAAGTCAAACAAAGCAAAAAAGAAATCAGTATCGTCTTCTAAATGATTGAATGGAAATATTCTTGCAAGACAAGCCGAGCATAACCAGGTATCATTAGATTACCCAAAGCAATGTATTCATCATGAGTGAATGGAGTACACTTCAGGTGAGTCCAATTTAGGCAAATGTCACATGAGATAGCTTTGTGATTATTATGAACATTAAATTTGCATACTGAACACAGGAACTTAGTAGGCATAAACTTACAAATGTTACAGAAAAAGAGAATCAAATCAAATCAAAAAAACAAATAAATAAGTAAAGCAGAAGCAACTATAAGTTAAAAATTATTTGGCAACTAATTAGACTAATAATGGCAACCAGCAGATTAAGCGATCATGTAGATAGCAGAGAGCAGAGCAGTATATGTCCAACAACCAGTTCAAAAATGGAAAACTGACTTATCTGTATTTGTTAACAATCTCGCGGCACTTGGAGAGAGTAGTACATTTCTCAATCACTGACCTACGAGACGTCGGTCTCATAAATATAATTCCATCGATGGTCCAAACTTTATCAATTATACCTTCTGGGATGTCATGATGTAGATACCGTAAATGTTACGACGGGATTGAGTCAGATCCTCTCGAATATCAAACGCGGTTTCACGGGCTTTTAGATCCCGTCACTTACGTAAATTTGAACTTTCAAGTTGGGGTGCAGAAGTCGGACAATGATAGGTCTGGGTGTACTGCCTCTCTTGCCTGTACGGTGGGAACGGCTGATATGGTTTGAAGACACGGTGATACCAAGTTCCTTCGTGAAGAAGTCAATTGCCTTTTTGTCAGTGTCTTCAGTGTCAGTACCTGTTGGCTCAGGGATTCCAAATATCCGAATATTAGTGCGCCGGGTATACTGTTCAGCAGACGTTCGAGGGGGAGGAAGATTGCGTGACAAGCCCAAAGAACGTCTGCGCAGGAGGCTAGTTCGATGCCAAAGCGCGACACAACAGCTGTTAGTACGTCTGAGCCAGCGATTCAGCGGTCGTTACACGGGAACGAGGCTATTGGGTCAAGACCT